TATTCCATCAAATTTTTTATTTCACCAGCGGTCTTCCTCCAGGAACTCTCTGCCTTCCTGCTTCAGACTGGATGGATGTCGCTCATGGGATTCCCAGCAGCGTTTTGAATGAAATTCTTCCTGTGCCATCTCTAACCTTCGGACCTCACTGTCTCCTTGGCCAGGTTGTCTCAGCTCCTCTGAGCTCTGGCTTTTCCAACTTTCCTAGTTAGTCTCTTTCTGTAACATTTCTTCTTCTGATTTTTTCTTCTAGCATTACAGCACTTTTTCCTTCTAGCATTACAGCACTTTGCTTTGCCTCAGTTTGCCCATCTCTAAAAGGAATAGTCAAGATCTTTCTGGAATATAACTTCAGTAGAATTTAGAAGGTGGCAATGAATTCATATTGTGCCTCAAAATGCCTAGGAGAAAGAGGTGGGGCATAAAATTAAGGAATTGATTTCATTGTTAATTTCTTCTGACTTTCCCTGGTTTTGACTAATTATCCATCCTGCAGGCTAGATTAATTTTTAAATTTAATATCGTTGTACAGGGTTCAATTAGAAAAATGGATAATCAAGGTTAAAACTGTTATACAATTAAGTTGTAGTTTTTCTTCTCTACCTAAAATGGAAGTGTTAAGGATTTACTTCTTTAACATTAAAATCAATCCAAATATCAACAAGTTTTTCAGGGAGATAATTTAATGCACAATCCCCGACGAGCACTTATTAAACATAAGGCCGCCTACTCTAGCAGGCAGAATTTGTACTTGAGTCAGGTGCTTCATTGGAAATATTTTGGCTTAATTCAACACATTTTTTTAAGAAAGGAAAAACAAATTGGATGTGCAAATCTTCTTCGTAAGAAGAGAGGAAAATCATTTTATGTTGAGCAGTAAATCAAGAAATCAAGCCCTCACATCTATGAGTCTTTAGGGGTAAGCTGACAGATCTCATAGTGTCTCACTTCATATTATGAAGCAAGTGGTGGTGGTTCAAGTTTTTAAATTTGCATGAAAAATTCAGGCCAGAAATAAATTAGGATAGATTGAGGGATGTCAAAATCATATAAAAATTAAGATGTTTATCATCATGTGACTTTTAAGATTTTTTTTTTTTGAGACAGAGTCTCTCTCTATTGCCCGGGCTAGAGCGCTGTGGCATCAACCTAGCTCACAGCCACCTCCAACTCCTGGGCTCGAGAGATCCTCCTGCCTCAGTCTCCCGAGTAGCTGGGACTACAGGCATGTGCCACCATGCCTGGCTAATTTTTTCTATATATATTTTTAGTTGGCCAATTAATTTCTTTGTATTTTTAGTAGAGATGGGTTCTTGCTCTTGCTCAGGCTGGTTTCGAACTCCTGACCTTGAGTGATCCTCCCACCTTGGCCTCCCAGAGTGCTAGGATTACAGGCCTGAGTTACCACTCCCTGGGCCAGAGCCACCACACCCGGCCTAAGATTCTTTTTTTTTTTTGAGACAGAGTCTCGCTTTGTTGCACAGGCTAGAGTGAGTGCCCTGGTGTCAGCCTAGCTCACAGCAACCTCAAACTCCTGGGCTCAAGCGATCCTCCTGCCTCAGCCTCCCGAGTAGCTGGGACTACAGGCATGCGCCACCATGCCCGGCTAATTTTTTTCTATATATATTAGTTGGCTCTTGCTCAGGCTGGTTTCGAACTCCTGACCTGGAGCAATCCGCCCGCCTCGGCCTCCCAGAGTGCTAGGATTACAGGCGTGAGCCACCACACCCGGCCTGTGGCCTAAGATTCTTTTAAGAAGTATTTTTGCCTTCATCAGCACAAACCTTAGGACAAATGTGCAAGTAATTACAAGAAAAATTACCAGCTCAGAAAGTGCTTGCCTTGCTTGCCATTTCCTCATATGGTAAATAACAAAGAAAATGTTATCTGTTGCCACCTTCCCAGCTGAAATAGTTAATAGTTCTAGGCAAGTGGGCTAGTAACTGTTTGCGAAGCGGAGTTAAATGTAGACAGATGCCATCCCAATGATAATGCCTATCACTTAGAACTTGAAATTGACACATCATGGGTTTCCCCCCTTAATTTATAGTGCAATAAAAGCGATAATAAATGTAGGTGCACTTCACCCTTGCAAAGAGTTACCATTTTTATGATTTTGACAAGTTCACACTCCTGGTTTTACCCTCACACTATCCCAGGCTCAAGTATTTAATATTTAACAATCTGTATTCTATAAATAATAGATGTGCCTGTCTTCGCAACCGAAGATCAGCAGCAGATTTTATTGTTGACAAGAGTGATAACGTTCTCACCTTCTTAACTTTTTATGTTACTGTTAATTTCCCCTTTGTGGCTGGAAGTCCAGGGAGGGGCTTGGGTCATTCTGGAGAGAAATGAGCTATAATAATCCAGTTGGAACCAAGCACTGGGAGAAGCTTGGATAACTCTACGTGCATTTTAGCAGTTTGAGGTCACAGACTCATGCAGATGCCAGAGCTGGAAGGAATCCTCTTCTGCCTTCCCCGCACAGAGAGGCAACCGAAAGCGTCCACCCCACAGATACGGGGCTGACGCCTACTAAGTGCAAACTCCGTGGGGCAGCTGTCTGTGGAGGGATTTGGCCAAGGTTCATATGGCTAATTCTTGGCAGAGTGAGTGAAAGTCAATTCAATTCAATAAATGGTTGGAAAGCATTAGGAAACAGAGTCCTGGCTCTCACAAAGTTTAGATAAAATTCCCACAAAGTGGACTTCTACTACGTTGATACTAAAACCCAAACTCCCATCAGAGCCAACAAGTCCCCTTGAGTTCTGACTTCTTTCTTCCCTGTCTGGTGGTCACACTGGCTCCTCAGACCAAACTCAATGCCTCCTCAGGGCCGTCGTACAGGCTGTTCCCTGTGCCCGATATGCTCTTCCCTCCAGTCTTCCCACAGCTGCAGCTAAAACAGCGAGCGTCCCTGCCACCGTCCCCCACACGCAGCGAGGCGTTCTCTATCTCATTTCCCGGCGTTGTTGACTTCGGAGTGCCCATCGCATGGGAAAGCACCCTTCTTGTCGTTTTAATTTGTTGATATTTTTATTGTTTGTCTTCTTCACCGGGATGTAAGCTCCCGTAACAGCAGGACCTTGTCTCTGCTCTTCCCTTGCCCAGTGCCAAGAACGGTGCCTGTGCTGGTGTGGAAATGCCAGTATTTGTGGGGTCAGTGAATGAGTAAAGACGGGGCAACTGATCTAGAAGCAGTCGCAGCGCTGTGGGACGTTGATGCCCCGTCCAGCCTTCAAGGCCCATTGTGGCCAACGCTCCCAACGTCCCCCATGGAGACAGTCTCCCCTCTGTCTTCCTCAGCACTTAGTACAGACATTTCTGGAAACACTCACGATGGAACTGTGTGGTTGCCCTTTGGTCTTCCTCTCTGGAGGGCAGCGTGCAGCTCCTTTTCTATACCTAGTACCTGCCCAAATCCTTAGAGGATTTTGGGAGGGCAGCGAATGCATGAAGGCAGCTAAATGAATGGAGATGAGTGTTTGGAATTTGGAAAGCGTTTCTCCTTGAGCATTGCGAGCGTCATGGGTGCTCTATCCTCAGGCTGGCCCAGGAGTTATTTATGAGTCTGATCTACCATTTACTCAAATGTTAATCTATATGAAGCCTGCATTTCTTACTTGCGTTTAGAGCCCTGTATGAAGGCAGTCTCGTTCCATTACTTTGGCATAGCGGGTTAAATAGGCTTTGTAAACACAAGCAGGAAATAATAGAGAAAAAAATAAATAGTGTGTGTTTTGTGTGTCTCCATTTAAGTCACCAGGGCTTGCTTTCTTAATTCCTACAAACTCAAATGAGGGTACTGCAGTTTAAAGTGAAAATGACGACTAGGCAAAGAGCTGCTGCAGAAGTCTAAATGACAAAGGCAAATAGCCACTGCTATGCCTCCCACCTCTAGTGTATTTCATGTTCTCAAAGGAACTTTCACAGGTAGACATTCTCTGATCTTCATAACAACGCATGACATGCCACAGTGGGTATGGTGCCTGTTTTTAGACAAGGAAAGCAAAGCTCACAGAAGCTGCATGACTTGCCTGATGCCACCATGTAACGTTGGCAGAGGCAGGGCCAGAATCCACTCCCGGCTATTGGTCCAGTGCCTTGGTAGGATGTTCCCAAATTGCAAAGCAATGCCAGAAACAGCTAGCGAAGGAAGCGGAGGAGTTTCTGCTGATACCATGATACCGATGGCCAAGTAGGAGTTTGGAAACAAACTCCCTCCAATTCCCTCTCCTATTTGCTTTTCCCTCTTGCACAATTTACTGCTGACGACGCGATGGTTTGTAGAATTAGGCTCGGTAGTGGCTTCAGCCTGTTGTCATCCTCATGGCACGAGATCCCAGACCTTGTTAAAGAATCTTCTGTAGCATTTAATTATGTCTTTGGGGAGGCCTGGAGATGGGGAGGGTGCAGCTGTGCGGAGGAGCTCGCTCTCAGGGCGCGTGCAGGGTGGGCACCTGGGGGTGGGCGTCTCTGAGGATGCCATGCCCTGGCTGCCTCGCCTCCTCCCCCAGTTCCAGGTCTGGCATTAGGCGCCCTCCAAGCCTGCTGCTGGGGGAGGGTGTGCTGGGGGGAGAGTGCTGCATTGAGTCAGGCTCTGGGTGGCCCAGCAGGGGGGCTTATCCATGTGGGCAGACTCTCTTTCCTCCTTGTGTGCGAGCCGCCCCTCCTTGCTCTGCGTCCAGGCCCAGACTCAGTTTACCCCCACGTGAGCAAGACAGAACATTCTCCTCCCCTCCCTAGAGCCTGTCATTGTAACTCGGGCTGTTTTCGCCCAGAGCAAGTGGCCTCGGAGGAGTGTTGTGGCAAATGAGGGACTTCTCCCTCTGCCCTTGACATAGACGTCTTATGCTCCTCAGGACAGGCAATTCCTCTGTCCCATCCAGGGTTTCCAGCTCCGGAAGGTGGGAAACAACCTGGCGGCCCGTCTCTCTGAGCCTGTGAGAAAATATTATATGCTAAGTCAATGCTGACTCAGCATCCTCTGCTCATAGGAAATTCCTGGCCAGCACCGTTTTCCTTCAAATCGAGAGGACACATCAATGGATGGCAAGACAGTCACAGGAGATGGATGGGCCACCAGACTGCGGAATTGTAAGAAGGGCTTCTTCCCTGTGTTTCCGAACACGCACTCGGTAGGCTTGGCAGCACCTCGCTGAGCATACAGCTGCACTGCTGTATGGACTCAAACTTTCATCACACAAAAAGAAAAGGGACTGGGTTTTTATGCATTTCAAATGGTAAGGTAGGCTAGCTTGTAGAGTGGCTTTCCCTATACCCTATTTGGAAAGAACCGTTGATACATTAGAAGATGCCACGCCAAAAGAACAGTTGGTTTTATCCCCGTCACACAAACATTGGAAAAGCGAGCCTTGTATTTGACTAAACACAACAACACGTGGCATCCTCGCCGCTGCTTTCCTCTGCAGAGAAACTTTGTACAGGAGGAAAAGGGTTTCAATATTGACATTTTAACCGCTGGAAATTGTGTAAGTCATCTGGTTGCGTTACGCTTGCCAGAGCAACTGGACGCGTGTGTCGCGGGTGGGATGCCGGTGCTGAAAAGCTTGGATGTGAGCCCCTCCGTTTATATGTGTGCATTGTACATAAACAGAGCCGATGCTCACATTCACAGAGCTCTGGTTAGGGTGCCTGGAAGGCAAAGGCACGAGAAAAGGTCCCTGCCAATCCATTCTAGTGTTTGCCCTTCCCAGAGGTCAAGATCAAAGGAGGAGCTGATAATCTGGAATGGTGATTCTCAAACTGAAGCGTGCATCCGAGCCACCTGGAGGGCTTTCTGGAACACAGCTTGCTGGGCTCTTCTCCGGGCACGCCTGTGCAGTGGGGCTGGAGTGGGGCCTCGGAATCTGCATTTCTAACAAGTTCCCACATGATGCTGAGCTGTGCACTGTCTCTAAGAACCCAGGCGACATACACAAAGCTGAGTGATATTGTGATATTTCCCCCGCTCTGTATCTTCTCTTTTTCCTTCCCCTTATTCAGATGCGTAGCTGGCCTTGTGTTCATTGCCCCGATGATCTCTGGAACTGGCAGATTATAGCGGTAGCTGCAAGACTCTGGCTCTTGTTTCTGGAAGCCTAAACCCATCAGGAAACTGAAGCGTGTTCACAACAGAGTGGCCTGGATGTAGCAAGAGGGTCCCCTGGGAGTGGGCTCGGTCCCCCCACCCCATGCCTTGGCATTAGTGATGAGCCGGGAGCCCAGGCCTGACTGAGGAGACAGAAAGTCCCTGGGAAGGTGAGAATGCGCTCCCCACCAACTCAAAACCCAGAAGTTACGTTGGCTCTTAGGGACAATATTTCTTATAATCTGAGTTGCCATTGTCTCTACTATATATGTGTGGCGGATGATCACAGTACCCCAGCTCCAAAAGATGGAATGTATGTTATAAATATATTCAATAATTATTCCATTTAATGCATGCCAGGCTCTATGCCTGGTGCTTTACCATATATTATCTCATTTAATCTACATGACAATCTCTGAAGTAGGACTTCTCCATTTTACTGATGTCAAAACTGAGGCTCACAGAAGTCAACTAATTCACATAAGGCCATGTAATGATGGGAGGCAGGATTTGAACCCAGCTCCTTCTGTCTTCAGAGGCTGGTCTCCCAGTTACTCCACCTGGGGTTCCCTGCCTGGCTCAGTCCTAAGATTCACCTGGGCTTTGGTTACAGTGGAAGGGTTCCAGGCCCATTGCCTGGGGACGCTGACCCAGGAGATCTAGCCCAGAGGCCTGGAATCTCCATTTTTATTGGGAGCTCATGGTGAGGCCAAAGGTTGGACAGATTCAGGAAGTCCTGTTCATGCTCTGCTGCCTCCCTATTGTAAGGTAAAGAAATAAGAGTCCTCCCATCAGGGAGTTCCTAGTGTCTGTTTCTCTTAAAGAAAGAAAGAAACCAAGTGAGAGCAAATAATTGCAATTGTAATGAGAGGCAAAACCTTTTCATCCAAAGCATAAAGCAAACACCCAATTAACACCTCCTTCCCTTCAACCTAGAACAGAACCAAGAGGACCCCTGGGTGCCTCCACCTCCCATGCCACCTTCTCACCTGTCTCACCTGTCTCACACAGCCACCCACATCGGGGGCTGCACTTCCTCACCTCTCAGTCCTTCTGTGCCCGCTGCAGTTAGGCTTCTGCCCTTTTGTGCTCATCAAAATTCCTGGTAACTTTCAGGTTGGATTCACATGTGTCTTGGAACTTGATTTTGTTAAAAATTGGGGTAAAACACACGTAACGTAAATTTACCATTTTAATCACCTTTAAGCATACACGTGGTGGTGTGAAGTACATCCGCATGGATGGGCTGCCATTGCCACATCCGCCTCCAGAACTTTCTCGTCTTCCCAAATGGAAACTCTGTGCTCATTAAACACCAACTCCCTCCCTTCCCTTCTTCCCAGCCCTCATCAGCCACCATCATGTCCTCTGTCTCAATGAATTTGGCCACTCCAGCTACCTCCTGTAAGCAGAATCACACAGTATTTGTCCTATTGTGCCTGGTTTATTTCACTCGACTTACTGTCTTCCAGATTCAGCCAGGTTGTAGCACATGTCAGAATGTCATTCAATGTTACTTTGAATGACATTCAATGTTACATTCAATGTTTGAATAGCATTCAATGTTACTTTGCATTGATATACCACATTGTATTTATCCACTCATCCATTGAAGGCAGGAGTTGCATTCACCTTTTGCTTATTAGGAATAATGCTGTTATGAACATGAGTATACAAGTATCTGTTCAAGTCTCTGCTTTCAGTTATTTTGGGCGTATTCCCGGAAGTGGGGTTGCCGGATCCTAGGGTGGGTCTGCGTGTGACGTGTGGAGGAACTGCCACGCAGCCCTTCACGGCGGCCAGACATTCCCACTCTCTCTGCGTCCTTGCCGGCACTCGCTATGCTTGGTCGTTTCTTTTTTTGATAACAATCATCCTAGTGCGAATGAAGTGGCTCTATCGTGAATTTTCTGTGGCATTCGACTCCATGGGCTCTTCCTTCTCAAAACACCTTCCCTTCTTTCCTCCACGCTCTCCCGGTTTTCTTGTCTCTTTTTCTGGGGCTTTTTGTTGGTTGGTTGGTTGGTTTTTTCTTGTCGCTATCCAACCACCTCACCAAAAGGAGCATCACCCAGGGCTGCGTCTGAGGTCCCTCCCTCTGCGTACTCATTGTATAGCCCATGCCCCCGCTTTGTCTGCTGTCGTTTCATGGATATCCTGATTTCACCTCCCACTTGAATGGGGGGGGATTGAGGAAATGGATTCTTCAAGAAGTACCTTGCTCAAGGTCACCCCAGCAGCGAGTAAGTTTGGAACCAGACTCAGACCAAGGCCACCTCTCTCCGAAGGCCATGTGTTTCACCACACCCCACCCCTGTCCCTCACAACCATCTACTGGCTATTTCAGACTCTGAATGTCTCACTCTGTGTTGTAATTACGTGTTTCCGTCCCTGTTTCTATCGCTGGAATAGAATGTATGTGGACAGGGACAAACCTTTCTCTTTGTAATTTGTATTTACTTCTATATTAACAGGTCTAAGCCGTGCCTAGTGTCAGGGAAAACATCCAATTAGCACTTGTTTAATATATGAATGAATGAGTGGACTGCATATGTTTGATATTATTCATTCATGATCACATAATATTAATGCCAGTGTCTGTGTTCCACATGCATGTTATGTAGGCTTCCGCCGAAGAAATTAATATGATTTTTCTTGTCTTAGAGCTAAACTTTTATGATTAAATATTATTTGTAGGGAGAATATTACAGGATGAGAGATCTGATACATTTTTTTCCCCAGACATGATGAGTAGAAACAGTAGAGGAATAATTCTTAGATGCTAAGGAGAGAAGGCATTTAAAATTTTAATTTCACAATTACTCAATTACTATGCATTATTACTCAAAATATTTACTAATTATTGTTCAATATTTTGTATTTTTTCAGACGATAACTATCATTTGAATAATGATAGAAAAGCAGAACTGCTGCTTTTAAAAATGATATTTTAAAAAATAGATAGTGCATGTGTGTTAAAAAAATGTAAAATAGTATAGAAGGGTTTGAGGTGAGAAGTCTTCCCACTCCTGTCTCAATGTGCCCTCTGACCTTCCTCTTTAACTCAGAGATGACACCTGTCACAGTTTCTTATGTATCACTCACAAGTATCCTCTGCATTCACAAGGATTTATAAATATCCCCTCTCCTCTGCTTTCCTTCTCAAACAAATGGTAACACCTGGTTCTGTGCCTGGAATTTTTTTTTCCCTTTATAATATATCTTGGCAATTGTTCCATATCAGTACCTGGAGAGCAGCCTCGTGCATCTTCATAGGCATAACCAGCATTGCTTGAACTTTTCTACCAAAGCGCCAGGGATGGCAGGGCACACAGACTGCAGGAAGGACACAGTTAATTTAAAATCTTCAGTTTTATTTGCATTTCATGCCAAATTTCCATTCTGCTTCCTAATGCATTTGTGCTTATTTTAATATAAAAATCACATTTTAAACAGATGCTCCAGGCAGATGCACCTTGTTTATCCTGAGCTGTATTCACCTCTGCAGGTACCCACACCTTTGTTTAAGAAGGATAGGCACATGACCTTGTGGGAGTATCCCAGTGATATTGTGAGGAAGTGTGGGCAGGAATTATTAGCCCTTTCTAAAAGTGAAGCTCATTGATGTCAAGTGACCTGCCCGGGGTGACATGACCTGTAAGAATGCAGCCAGGAGGGCACCCAGCACTGCTCTGTCCTGACAACTTCTCTCACTGCCTCCCTCTCAGGATACAGATTCAGATGTGCCATGACCATATGTGAAGACGAAAGAAGACAGAAACCCAGGATCTTAAAAGACAAACTGCAGCCCAGCAGGGTTTACATGCAAAGGATACTTGCATGACGTGTTTTGTCAAGTGTGGGATGAAAGACCCGGCAAATGTGGCCTTCACTGATACAGCAGAAAATGGAACCCATGTTCTTTTGTTTTAAAAATCGAATGTGGCAGGCGCCTATAATCCCAGCACTATGGGAGGCTGAGGTAGGAGATCACTTGAGACCAGGA